TTATGCTTTTCTGCTGGATGGTTAAGACGAAGATAAAGCAAGACCTATATAACAAGAAATGTAACTTTTGTATCTGATAAGGTCAGTCAAGTACCCTCAGAATTTATCCTGTAGCCCTGTACCGCACTTTGTAGATCCTTTGTCAGTGTCAGCCATGAGGATGAGTCACAGCCATTGCTTGACCAATTTGCTCTCTGTGAAAGCCTGAGAGAATTTTTTTTCTCTCCATGTGACTCTCCCCAGGCACACTATGCATCATCAATCACATTCCTCTATGCTCAGCTTACAATTTTACATTTATCCTTCAAATTAATTCTAGCAATCATTTGAGGCAACCAATTAAAATTATGAAGCTAAATGCTTAACATTATATTGTAAAATATATAACCATATTTAAGAAAATATAGTATCTAAGAACCACTAAGTTCTAAAATGTATTCTTTCTAGTACTACCTTGCCTTCACCAGTCCCTCCACTTGACATTGTTCTTTTTATATTTTAGTTCACTTTATATCTTCTAGAAATGCCTTCTTCCTAGACTAGATTTTTTTTTAATTCTGAGACACGAAATGAATATATCTATCTCTTAGAATTTGAACTTAGAGATAGATATTGAAGAATTTGAACTTAATGAATATATCTATCTCTCAGAATTTGTAGGAGTAAAACACTTCAAAGTAAGCCAATAAGTATAGTTTATGTTAGTGTTTAAATTCTTCAAGGTAATCTTTAATTCTGCATGATAACACACACCTGTAATCTCAGCTACTTAGGCTAAAGCAGGAGGATCACAAGTTCGAGGCCAGCCTGCGCAACATAATTAGACTGTCTAAAATTTTTAACAAGGCCTAGGGATGTAGCTCAGTTGTAGAGCACTTGCTTAGAATGCATGTCTTGTGTCTATGTATGTGCACATGTACATGTCTGCATTAGCTAACACACGTCCATGCTTCCAACATATACAGTTGTATGCATAGGTAGAAGATCAGATCGGTTTCATCTTCACCATGTTCATCTGCTTATATAGTATTAATAGGATTCCTACCGGCCTGAATTCAGATCCAAAGTGAAAGAGCTCATGACTGATATGACTGACATGAGCATGGGAAAGAGTAGTAGCTGTGTGCGCCAGGTACTTGCCACGTCAAATTGATTCTATTGATTGTATTTCTGTAGAGCTCTCACTCTCCTGAGCACCAGTGCCTAGTGGTCACACATTCTGCCTTTAACTTACAGCTGTGAACGGATACACCTTTGGAAGTCTTCCAGGGCTCTCCATGTGTGCAGAAGACAGAGTGAAATGGTACCTTTTTGGTATGGGTAATGAAGTTGACGTGCACTCGGCTTTCTTTCATGGACAAGCACTGACTAACAAGAACTACCGTATTGACGCAGTCAATCTCTTTCCTGCTACTCTTTTTGATGCTTTTATGGTGGCCCAGAACCCTGGAGTGTGGATGCTTAGCTGTCAGAATCTAAACCATCTGAAAGGTGAGACATCTTTACCCCAACTTAGCTGCTGGCTGAAAGAAAGGGTTGTATCATAGTTACTGTACTAGGGGGTGATTATTTGGAATCAGAATCTCTTTTTTTTTCCTTGAATTTTTGTATTGGTACATGTTATATATACATAGTGATAGCATTCATCATAGGGGAATTGTACCTTGCTTCAAACAATAGTTTTAAGCATTTTCTTTAAAGATTTAAAATTTCTGAATTTAGTTCAACTTATAATACCACATTTCCAAGAAAAATGAACTTTTTGCAAAGACATTTAAATAAAATCATACCAAGATGCACAAAAATGAAATTGTCCAAAACTTCTTGTAAAGAAAAAAAATCATTAAAGCACATACATTAAAATATTAGCTATGGAAGAACAAAATTAAATAGCGTCTTATGGAATCAGAATCCCAAAGCAAAATATCTTTGGAATAATCTGAGCTTTGAATTTGGATTTTAGTCTTAGTCCCACAGTGTAATAAAAAGAGACAAAGACTGAAAATGTTAATAAAATAACAAGATCTAAAAGTACATTGAATTCTAGAAAAGAATAATTGACCTTGTTTTGAAAATATAGCATTGTATGTAGTTTCTTAGCTTTGTAATATTATAAAATATTATAAAAATAAGATTTATACATTGTGTTGGAAAGTAACCTGTGGGGGGGTGTTTGGGTTTTTTTTTTTTTTTTACTTATTTGTATCAAATATAACCAAGTTTGTTTTTTGTTAATGTCTAGCTACTCCATGCTTTAGCATGAAAAATTAATATAAGATTATAAAAACATTTCCTTGCTCTTGAAAAATATTTGTGATGTTGACCTCCTGAGGAAATTAGCTTTACCCAGGTCTCCAGGTATGGGACTTTGGCTGGTAGATGGGATTGCATGTAATATGACCTAGGTCGCACAAGCCCAGCACAGTAGGTGCAAAGCCAGCTTGCGAAAGAGAACGTGATCGCGGTCACGCTGTTCCTTCTCCTCCATCTCACACCGCACCCTAAAATATGCCAAAGCCCCTCTTCTTCCTTCACCTACCAATCTGTCTTTTTTCTTGCATCAAGACAATTCCTGAGCTATCTCAACCCCACAGAAACTGGTACCACATTTTGAAAACACATACACTTAATGTCTCTTTTCTGTGCTGCATGTACATAAAAAGATGTATGTATTTTTAAAAACTTGAATTCTCCATCAGTCATTTATTTTCAGCTGTTTTTCTTACTTTATCCCTCTCTATTTCTTCCATTTTCATCCGTCATCTCATCAGCAGTATTTTTAGGGCAACAGGAAAGAGCAAAGCCGGATCTGCTAACCAGCGCCCCCTTGTGTCGTTGCAGCCGGTCTGCAGGCCTTTTTCCAGGTTCAGAACTGTAACAAGTCCTCATCAGAAAATGATATCCTGGGGGAAGATGTTAGACACTACTACATCGCTGCTGAGGAAATCATCTGGAACTATGCTCCGTCGGGTAAAGACATTTTCACCAATGAAAGCTTAATAGCTCCTGAAAGGTAATTCACCCCAAGAGACTATTATTTCAAAATATACCCCCCTCAAAAAACAAAACAAAAAACATAAAAAGCTGATGCAGCAACTAAAATTTCAGTTGGTTTCTGATAATGAATAGCTGCGCTGTTCAATATTTATTAAGGTGTTTCATATGCTAGTCTGAGCTTTAGCACTCTGACTTTTGAGTCGATTAAAAATATATGCTCAAATGCGCAACAAAATCTTTTTTTTTTTTTTTTTTTTTTCTTCAGAACTGGGGATTGAACTCAGACCCTTGCGCTTGCTAGGCAAGCGCTTATTCTACTGAGCCATCTCCCCAGCCCCATGTGCAACAAAATCTTAATAAAACATGGAATTAGAAATTGATTTGTTTTCACCTCTGAAAACACTCTCATTCAGGTCAGCAGCACTGAGAACATTAACAATGTACAGCCAGCAGCATCATCCATTTCTAGAACTTCTTTATCATTCTAAGTAGAAACTCTATCCATTACCCCCTTTTCACCCTTCCTCTACCCCTTGATAATCTCTATTCTACTTTACATCTCATGAATTTGCCTATTTTAAACAATTAATACAAGTGGAATAATGCAGTATTTAAGGATAAATACTGTATTATTCACTTAGCATGTTTTTAAGGTTCACTCTGTAAGAAATTATCTCACTTGTCCAGAACAAAAAATAAGAACAAGCTGGACCCCAGAGGCAGTGAAGGCGAGGCTTTTGTCTAAACTCGTGCAAGAGTGGCACTGACACAGGAGCAGGTGCGCTCCAATGAGAAGCTGTGCGCTTTCATCCCTAACTTGCAGGAGACCCTCTCTGCACCTCCCAGGACCTGGGATCTGGGGTTCGCAGACTGTTCCAGGCAACGGATCTCACCCCACACCTTCTCATCCCTTTGCCCCTCTGGGTCTCTCTGTAGTTATTTTGAGCCTGTTGGCTTCCCAGGCTGTGAGAAGCCTCTGATCTCTGGAATGAGTCTTCGTATAGCCTGCGCGTCCTGGTAACCCAGCCCACAGAGCCGAGCCCAAGAACAAAGACTATTCCAGTGGCTAATGACACATGGACCAATTAAAGTTCTTTACCTCTTACAGCCCGTGTGGCATCTATCAGAATTTCATTCCTCTCTAATGCTGAACAATATTTCATCTATGCATATACCACATTACTTATTTGTATTTTAATGGACATTTGGGTTGCTTCCACCTTTTGGCTTTTGTGAAGAACACTGCTATTGGTGTATAAATATCTGTTCTATTCTCTGCCTTTAATTTTAGTCTCAGGCTACACTGACATCTGGTATACTCCTAAAGCTGGATCTTCACAAAGGGTTTTACAAATTTCAGATTTGTATTTCAAACTTCTTGGGGATAGCTCCACTTGGATGAGACCTGTCACACTTGTCGTGTCTAAAACCATTACTCCCACGAAAAGCTGAGCTTCATTCTCTCTCAGTGAATGGAGTCATCTATCTATTCATGTGCCCATCAAAATACTCCAGTCCAAAACCTGAACCCTGTTCTCGAGCCCTCTTCCTTCATCAGCCTCTCTTCCTGTGTGTGTGTGTGTGTGTGTGTGTGTGTGTGTGTGTGTGTGTGTAACCGGGGGTTGAACTCAGGCCCTTGCACTTGCCAGGGAAGCGCTTATTCTACTGAGCCATCTCCCTGGCCCCGCCCCTCTTCCTTCCTCACCAAGTACTGCTGCATTACAGTCTGGTATCTCTGAAAACAGGAATTTCCATCTTGTTTGCCAGCATCTCTGAAGCCACCAGCATCTTTCACTGAAATTATAAGAACAGCCTCCTGATTGGCCTTCCTCCTGCGGATTTGCGTTTTCCAAAATATTCTCCACACAGCTGCCTGAGAGGTCCTCCTAAAACACTAATCTAGCTTAAAGTTTTCATTTACTGGCCTGGAATTGAGCACAAAATTATCTAAATTTTGCTGCTTACCCCTTTCTCTCCAAGCCTCCTTCACTCCTCTGCAGGCACCATGCTACACTCCTGCCATGCTTCTTCTCCTCTGAGCCTTCTCATAGGCTGCTTCCTCTTTGTAATCCCCCCTCATCCTCCCCATCAGTTTACAGATTCTACTTTTCCCTTGGATACTTTTAAGATATCATTCCCTCTGAAAAGGTCTGTAGTGCAGGGCTCTCCCATTGCTTCCCCCAGGAGAAGTCTCCGTCACATCCTGCGCTTGCTACATTTTATTACATTGATTGATTCATAGTGCATCTCCTCTGGCAGATGCAAGGACCATGTGAGTGAGGAGGAATCCAGATGGCTTAGGGTGATTTCATCAACACATACCAGGGGCCCTAGCAAAAAAGCAAGCATCCAACACATTGTCAAATGAAAGAAGAAATGAATGCAGTGGCTTTGTGCACATCAAATATCTTTCTGAAATTTAACTTTTTTCTAAGATGAGGAAATAATACCAAATTTGTTGCGTTGTTGTGTGCATTTTAGTAAACAAGAAACCTTCTGAGTGTCTGGTTGGTGCTCCTACACAACCGTCAATAGCTACTGTATTTTCAAACATTTTGCAGTTGGATGAAAAAGCTGGGTTATAGAAAAATTTATCAACTATCAGGGGTCGATATGGGCTCTTTTGAAAGTTCTTCACTTGCAAAAGTGAAACCTCCTCGTGAATTTTCTCCTCCTTCACAGAGCATCCAGGTCACTGTGACCAGAATTATCTGTCCCTCCTTGAGCAATTAGCACAGATAGCTCTAAGCCTCAGGAGATAACTCATCTCCCAGCATGGGCCAGGATTTTTCTCTTCAACAGGGCCTCGATGAATACCTGCTCTCTGCTCACAACACTGTTGTTTTGTTTGCCTCAATCCCTGTTGTTTTGTTTTTTGTTTTTGACAGTGACTCAAGGGTATTTTTTGAACAAGGCCCTACAAGAATTGGTGGTTCTTACAAAAAGTTGGTCTACCGCGAGTACACAGACGCCTCCTTCACAAAGCGGAAGGAACGAGGCCCTGATGATGAACATCTGGGCATTCTGGGTGAGTCCGTGCCACACAGACACAGCGGCAGCTCTCACTGCCCTCAGGGACGCCCAGCCTCGGGAAGTACAGAGCTTTGGGACCCGTGACAAAACTTCTATGAAGAAATTAGGCATATGGATAATCAAACATCAATAAAAAGCAGAGGCCAACTGCTTTTCTAAATGTGAATTACCGACAGCAAATCTTCATCCATGAAAACCATGTTCACTTCAGATGATTGTTTTTTTAGTTCAAAGAGAAGTGTGTGTGTGTGTGTGTGTGAGAGAGAGAGAGAGAGAGAGAGAGAGAGAGAGACTGAAAGACTCTGCTTAAATTAGTAACTAAGTTATTGTAGTTCACTCTTTATGTAAAAACACATTCTCTTAGAAATAAAACCATAGCGTAGGCTGTCATGAGACCAGCCATACGTGGCCTGGTGGCCCTGGAGCCACCCTCAGGGAAGCCCAGAGACTGCTCACGCTGGGCACTTGGGCAGGAGAGCGCAGTGCGACATCCAGGCTGTCTCTGCTTAGTTGTGTGGCTTTTGAAGTTATGCAACCTTCTGTGCCTGACTGTGACTGTAAACTGGGAATAATAGTTCCTACCTCACAAAATGATAAGGATTGAGTTATTACACATGACACTCCGAAGTGCAGAGAGGAAACTCTCAGTAGACGTCATTCTTGCATATTACATAAATATTTGTGTGCTATACCACTATTTTATAATTAGAAATAATATTCATTTTAGTGTTGAAAAATCCCAAACACTTGTCGCCCTTCACACCCAAGACAATGTAACCTCCCTGCCTGGAGTTGTCTTGGTGTATGGCACACCCTAACTCCTGAGTCCCAGACAGTGGTGTCCTCCTGGCCAACAGAAGACACAGTGAGCAAAGTGTGGCCACCCGGAATGGTTTTTCTTAAGTGTAAAAGTTAATTAACTGACTTTGGCAAAAACAATGACCAGTTTAATTAACCTGAAGCTAGATCAAAAAGTCCTTTGTCCTGTCTTGTCAAGTCAGATTACTAATGGACTGTTTGAAAATTAAGATTTCCAATTTGCAACAAATAAGCATGTTCTTTCCAATGGTGCTTGTCAGGGGACACAAAGAAACTGCTATGTGTCAATGACAGACAATGCTTCTGTGTTTTTCTCTAGGTCCTGTTATATGGGGAGAGGTGGGAGACACCATCAAAGTCACTTTTCATAACAAAGGACCCTTTCCCCTCAGTATTCAACCAACTGGAGTGAGAGTCAGCAAGGACAACGAGGGCACACACTATGCCCCACATGACAGCTCCTCCAAAGGAAGTGAGTACACAGCTCTCCAGCCAGTCAGCACCGGTCAGGAACCCACCACACGGGCCGCCTGCAGCATCTCGCAGGAATTCCCAAGGGCACTGCTCATACATCATTTTCAGGCAGTATGCCAAAAAGAACACAAATAAGCTCTTTACTAATTCTAACTGGTTAAAGGAGGTTTATCCTGCCTTGATTGGATGATTTTTGACAATGCTAGGAAGAACTTAATTGGATTATATTAACTATATTTCTGGAGTACTATTTGCATAACTTTAATTTTTAAAGTCCTGTAAGAAGGTTAGATCTTTACTTTAGGATTTTTGAAAAATATTCTAAATAAAAAATAACTGAAAATATTAGACAAGCATTGTTTTTGTATAATCTTCCCACGTTTGTCTATAAAATACAGTAAATATCTTATATATAGTTGAGATTACAGTATATAAATATACTTTCCTCTACAGCTTCATAGTAGAGTTTATTCTCTTAGCATTATATTCATTTATGATGTGTTCTTAGGGGAAGTGTGAGTACAAAGAGGGACACCAATCCCAGACAGCATCTAAAGGAGGCTGCCTGAGGCAATCACACCAATCTGTTAATCTGATACAGGAGCACAAGTAGGATTCCTTTCTAACGTAGAACAAGAAATTCAGACATGGTTTAGCCTAGACTAACCCACAGTGCTTTGTTGTTCAAATGCCTGTATTAGAAATACACTGAATCTCTCTGTGACCTTTCTTACAGGGCTGCCACCTCATTCAGCCTCCTATGTGACACCCAAGGAGACCTTTACCTATGAATGGACCATCCCCCAAGAAGTGGGCCCCACTTATAAGGATCCCTCCTGCCTGCCTGGGATGTATTATTCTGCTGTGGATCCCACCAAAGATATATTCTCTGGGCTTATTGGGCCAATGAAAATATGCAAGAAAGGGAGTTTACATGCAAATGGAAGACAGGTAAACTCACCCAGAGAAAAATGAAAATGAGTTTTTTTGTTTTGGGGTTTTTTTTTGGCAGAACTGGAGACTGAACTCAGGCCCTTGCGCTTGCCAGGCAAGCTCTTATACTACTGAGCTATCTCCCCAGCCCTGAAAATGATTTGTTAATCTCTTTGAATTATCATAAAGAAAATTCTGGGTTTTGAGACAGTGCGGGTGTAATACATAATTTTTGCTTTAAATTTTTCTCAGCTTTATTAGGTCTGTATCATGCAAAGGTTTTCCTAGCTAACATGATTATTCTTAGATGGGTTGGAAGTGAAATTGTCTACAGACCTATGATTGTTTTAATAATAACAAATTAGACCATGACTCTTTGACCTAGAAATAGAGACACTGTTATATCTTCATTGTTATTTTTATCTCTAAAAATTTTATTATGTGACTTTAGAAGCTAAGAACGCCTTTGTAACACCCATATTTCAGTGGTTACATCTTAATAATCACATACAACATGATTGCTCCTTAATATTGCCATATATCCAATGAATGTTCACATTTCCCTGATTTGTCTTATAATTGCTTTGTCATTTCAATCAATATCCAAATAACTACACACATTAATTTGACCTGTTTGTGAAAATTATTTTTTTCTTCTTTATGTCTTTTTTTATTTTATTGAGAAACAAATAGCAATGAGACAGTTTCAAAACTGATTAATAGGACAGTTTCAATAATTAATACATTGTACATTGTTATCTTCTTAGTGGTTATCCATAGTACAAGATGCAGACAGAACATCCTGTCCAAACACTATCAGCACAAATCTTTCTTCTCATTGAATTAAGCGAAAGTAGCTGTATATCTATCCTAACTTGTGAAAGTTATTTTCTTGCAATTTTTCTACTGCAAGAGTCATTTGTCCTGTTTTCCACATCTAGATTTTACTTATTTCGTCCCATGGAGACTTTTAACCTATTTCTGTATCATCCCTTTCATGTCCCATAAGTCAGTGGCTAGAACCAAAGGTTTGATCAGATTCAGATTAGAGTCTTTTCTTGACAAGTGCTTTAGTTGTGATTCTGGGCCCTTCTATTACAGAATGCAGCATGAATAGCTATCTTTCAGTTGGAGATGTTATTGGTCACTGATGACCACCTCCTAGATTCCTTAAATTAAAGTTATATAATAGTAACATTCTGCTTCCATCTCTCTTCATTTACTAGTCAGAATTCTTCAATAAACAGAAATTTCCTATAATGAGCTATGTGATTATCCTGAAGGACATCATATGACAATTACTTGACCTTTCCCCTGTTTTTTCAAGTTTCAAACCAATGACTCTGCTCTAGCACACTTCAGAGCTTCCTAATAATTTCTTTTTATATACCATTGTGCATTGCCAGATTTGAGGATGTTCACCATTCAAATAGGAGATAAATAGTTGCTCTTTATGTTGCTTTTTATGAATGTTTATTTAGGGAACATTTCATTTGACCTGCTCAAAAAACATCCTGTACTAGGCACAGAATTCGTCAGTAAGACGAGCCAGTTTCCTATGCTAGTAGGGTTTATATCCTAGTATACGTGCAGGAGTGGAGGAAGCAGGAGGGTGAGTGAGAAATGCACAAACAAAATAAATATAAGTTTATTCAGAAAGTGACAAGTACTTTAAACACAGAATAATGAGACAGTGACCAGAAATCCTGGTAAAGTACAAATATCTGAGACAAGATCTAAACTTCAAGAAGCAGCCTTGTAGACATCTCAAGGAGAACAAAGGGAACAGCTAGTGTCAGATGTCACATTTTATTAAAGATACTTCTGGTAATATTTTCAATGTAGACTTTTGTAGAATTTCGGCCTCTAAAATTCAAACATTTTGCCGGAACATTTTTAGGTATAGGTCTCTATTATTGATTTTGTCCTGCTTTTAGGGAAGCTTTGAAATCTGAAAACTAGTCTTTTTCTTTATGTGGTGAACGTTCGATTAACTTCTTATCATTGTGTCTTCCCCTTTCTTTCTAAAGTTACACGTGTACACTTTTCATCTTTAAATCTTTCACCCGACTTGTGGGAGCTTTCTTTAGCTCTCCACCACTGATTTTGTTCTCTGTAGGATCCAATCTTCAGGTCTGCACTGCAGTTGGATTGTTTCACTTTTATCAAGCACAGAGCTGAAAGTTAGATCATGTTTTCACTCTGAAAAAATGATCTTAGTGGAAAGACATATACTTTATAATGATTTCTCATACGTTCTTATTCCTGAGATTTATTGGCTCTTTCTGAATGACTGAATTGTCTTATAGACCAGATAGCATTTCTGATGATGTTGATGATGGTGATGATGATGGTGATTGCAGTGATTTTCACCAGAGGGTTGGGGGAGAGAGTAAGAATTGTGCCCAGCTGGCTGGAGTGTGTGTGAATCCTGTTCTAGCTTATTAGCAAGTCATTTCTGTGCTCAAAATGATCAGTCCCTCAACATGCTGCTTCCACCCTGTTCTGCTTTACAGGAAATTTTGGTTTTCTGAATGTGGATGGCATCTTTCCTATACCCAGAGCATACAGAGATTTCCCTTATTTTAATATTTTTTAATGGTTTCAATTGGTATGGGCAGTGAGGCAGGAAGAAAAAAGACACAGGATGTTCAGATGCCAAGAAAGATTCACATTACCATGCTGAATGCAGATGTGCTGAGGGGATACTCAGGGGAGTTTGGTGGTCAACTGGAATACTTCATAAATTGGGTTTACGAAGAGGAGCAGAACCTTCTGTCCTGTTTCCTCCTTGAGCTGGCTTTTGTATAGACTGCGTTGTGTGCCATAAGTCCCTCACCCTGTCTTTACCTCCTTGCTGTCTTGATTTACAGAAAGCTATCTCCAAGGAGTTCTATTTGTTTCCTACAGTATTTGATGAGAATGAGAGTTTACTCCTAGATGATAATATTAGAATGTTTACAATTGCTCCGGATCAAGTGAATAAGGAGGATTCTGACTTTCAAGAATCTAATAAGATGCACTGTAAGTACTGCACCTTTCGCCATAAGTACAGTAAATTAATCTCTGAGGTTATTCAAATATTGCATATATAATACTTTCAATTAAACCAGAATGCAAATAGCTTTGCTTACTGAATAATTTGTGGAACCAGGGATTGAACTCAGGTCCTTGTCCTTGTCAGGCAAGCACTTATTCTACTGAGCCATCTCCCCAGCCCCATGCCATCTCCCTGGCCCCACTTACTGAATAATTTTTAACATATGATTAAATACAGTAATCCTGAGGGAGATGTCATTGACATATTTAATATGTCAGTCAGTTACCCACCATTTCACTTAACTCAGAGTAATAGGACATACAAACATACTGATTAAATGGATAATCCTTAAAGAGCACCCTGGGGAGCAGCCTCAGCATCTGCAGGGACTTGTTAGAAATGTAGATTCTTAGATCCAACTCTGACCTACTAAATCAGAAATGTGGATAACAGGTCCCAGAAATCTGTTTAACAAAACCTCTGGGTGGTTCTGACAAAAGAACTACTGGTTCTATACTTTCTTCATTTACGCAGTAAATGAAGAAATAAAAACAAGTGCATTTTATTATTCAATGTATAAAAAGATATAATCTCCTCTCATGATTCTCATCATGATTCTCATCAAAAATATTTGGGGGCTGGAGAGATAGCTCAGCAGTTTAAGTGCCTGCCTGGCAAGCACAAGGATCGGGTTTGATCCCTGGTACTGCATGCCAGGCTGGCCCTGTAACCCCAGGTGGCACATGCCTGTAAGTCCAGTGCTGGGGAGGCTGAAACAGGAGGATCACTATGAGTCTGAACTGCATAGTGAGACCCTGTATCAAATAAATAAAATAAATATATATTTGGAAGCACTTAAAAACTACCAGTACCCAAGACAAGCCCAGAGACTTTTATTTAATTGAAGCCTGGAGTCAGATTTATTTTTTTCTCTCTGTGTTATTTCTAAAATGTGGCTAAGGTTTAGAGATACCAAGCTAAATGTTCAAAAATCCAACACCGCTAATGAACAATGGTAAAAATTACTCAAGCTAATAGAACAACAACAACAAAAAAATTAGGGCTGGCCAGATAGCTCGGTGGATTAAAGTGCCTGCTTAGGCAGATGCAGGGACTGGAGTTCAATCCCCAGCATGCTGTGCCGGCCCTACTCCCTGGGGAGCACGGAGACAGCAACTGAAACCAGCACTTGGGAGCCTGAAAACAGGAGGATCACTATGAGTCAGATTTCTGTAATAAGACCTTGTAGACCCTGTGCTAAATACATTTTTAAAAATTTTCAAACTTGAGCTATAAACTGATGTTGTTTTGTATTAGATTTTCTTGCTTTCTCTTTTCTTTTCTTTTCTTTTTTTTTTTGAAGTTGGCCTGATTCTAGATACGTGACTCACAATCTTTAAAATGTTGTTAGTTCTGCATTTTTTTCCATTTTGGAGGTATCAGTAACATTATCTGTTGGAAAGAACAATGGAAGAAAACTTCCTGAGTGTATTCTTCCAGGTTATTCATGATGAGTCAAATTTTTCAGTTAGGTAAAGCTGTTAGTATTTATGGACTTAGGTATTCACAAACATGATCACTGAAAGTACCGAGAACAGCAGCCAGAATCTTGCTGGAGAACAGTGAAGCCCAGGGTGCGAGGCACACTGGCACAGAGCTTCCAGAACCACACAACCAGCTCTGCGCCCTGGAGCCAGGCAGACGCTGCTCTGAGAGTCCTGGAGGCAGCAGAAACACTGCTGGCACATGACAGTGGGCAGGCTTGGATGAGTCTTTTAGAAGTTAAAATTGGCTTGGAAGGTCGGGAAGGTTGTCATCACTAGTATATTACATAAATCGCTTTCAAATGTTATCCCTGATTTTTACAGCCATGAACGGATTCATGTATGGGAATCAGCCTGGACTCACCATGTGCCAAGGAGATTCAGTCATTTGGTACTTGTTCAGTGCTGGAAATGAGGCTGATTTACATGGCATATACTTCTCAGGAAACACATATCTGTCAAGGGGGGAAAGAAGAGACACGGCCAACCTCTTCCCTCAAACAAGGCTGACGTTAATCATGTACCCTGACACAAAAGGTATATTTCTTCAGCGTGAATACAAGTCCCTGTTGTGTGTCTTTTATTGAACTGGAACATGTTGGGTGATAAATTCAACCCTTTCCAAGCTTCCCAAGTGCCCTTCCCCCTTGGAAAGGGCCAGTTGGGATACCAAGAGTGGGAGTACATGCCAACTAGGTCTGTCTTCTGTTTAGTGGAGGGTGAAGCAAGGGCAAGAGTGAGAAGGGTGGGATGAAGTAGCCTCCATTTCCACAGCAGAACCCTCAAGAAGATTACCTTTTCCACTGTGATTCTTTTAAAGACATCTAAGAAAGCAGGTTAGAAAGGGACTGACTCCCATAGAGGTTCTGTATCCACATCTTTCAGCATATCTCTGTAGCCTGGATGTAGTGTTGGCTTGTGGACTTCTTGTGAATGAATATTTTATTCTAGAGCTGTAGCCATACAAATTCAGGTTAGTTCTGGCTCTGAATGAATAAATCAAACTAAAGCAAAGGGAAGGAATTCAGAGAGAGAGAGAGAGAGAGAGAGAGAGAGAGAGAGAGAGAGAGAGA